ATATATATATATATATAAAAGTTAGCTGGGAGTAGTGTAATCCCAGCTACTCAAGAAGCTGAAGCAGAAGAATCACTTGAATCTGAGAGGTGGAGGTTGCAGTGAGCTGAGAGCACCACTCCATCTCAAAAAACAAAAAATAAACAAACAAAAAAAGAACTAAGAATACAGCTATACGAATATAGAATGAGTGCTATAAAACAGCTATCTATGTAACTACAGAAAAGCACAGAAGAGAGAATAATTCTAACTAGATTGAATGGTGGTTGGGAGTAGAATAATATTAAGAAATAAAATGGAACAAAGGCAAAGACTCTACTCTTCACTTTAAAAGGCTTTGGAATTAATAACTTGGCTTTTTTTTTTTTTCCCTTGAGGCGGAGTCTTGCTTTGTCACCCAGGTTGGGGTGCAGTGGCTCCATCTTGGTTCACTGCAACCTCTGTCTCCCAGGTTCAAGTGATTCTCCTGCCTTAGCCTCCCGAGTAGCTGGGATTACAGGCACATGCCACGACACCTTTTTTTTTTTTTTAGTAGAAGCGGGGTTTCACCATGTTGGCCAGGCTGGTCTCAATTTCTTGACCTCAAGTGAGCATTTTGGCCTCCCAAAATGCTGGGATTATAGGTTGGAGCCCCATGCCAGGCCTATTTTCTCATGAAAGAAATTATAGAAAAAGTCCCCCCATGGATGGAGTATGGCAGCAAGAAAACTAAACAGTTTTCAGTCTCATTTAAAAATTTTCATTCAAGGTTTAACACTGATGTTTCTATTTTGCTTAATCAAACAATAATCCATAGGTGAATCTGATTTTAAGTTATCTTCACCCCCCACTTCTTGTGGGGTCAAGTAAATGATGTTCCAAAGAAATGATGTTGTCATATTATCAGAGATCACTTACAGACCAATGCTGCATACTACCTATGAATCTCAAAAAACAAAAAATAAATAAAAAAAAAAACTAAGAATACAGCTATACGAATATAGAATGAGTGCTATAAAACAGCTATCTATGTAACTACAAAAAAGCACAGAAGAGAGAATAATTCTAACTAGATTGAATGGTGGTTGGGAGTAGAATAATATTAAGAAATAATATTATTTCTTAATATGAATAATTTCCTATGAATTTCCTGTGGTTTGCTTTGTGAAGAGGGTTAAATTCCTATCTGTGATACATTTTGGAATGAATGGGTTTGATGCCAACACCTTAAAAGATATCCCGGCCGGGCGCGGTGGCTCACGCCTGTAATCCCAGCACTTTGGGAGGCC